GTAGCAGGACTTCTTTAAAAAGCTGTGCTTCAGTTTGCTGCCAGCACTGGTCTACCTAAGAAAGGCAATCACCAGGAAGTCACCTCTTAAAGGAGCCATGCTCTATTTGTAGCTAGCACTGAGTCTACCAGAGAGAAGGCCATTACCAGTAAGATGCATTTGACACCATTTTTGTGTGACAGGAGCCATTTCTTAAGTGTTTTCTGGTCTTATACTGATGTAGGTGCTGGATGTTTGGGTGTCATTTGAAGGCAGTTTTTTTTTTTTTTTTTCAGAACTGAGAGCTCACAAATAACCACACAGAGACTTATTATTAAATATAAATGTTCAGCCAATAGCTTAGGCTTGTTACTAACTAGTTCTTTCAACTTAAATGAACCCATATTCCTTATCTATGCTTTGCTATAAGGTGGCACCATTTTTCAGCATGGCATGTTCATCTCCTACTTCCTCTCTGTCTTTGTGGCAACTATGATAATTCTTCCTTTTGTTGTCTTTTTGTCCACAAGTTCTGCCTAACCTTCACCTGCCTATCTATTGGCCAGTTGGCTCTTTATTAAACCAATGAGAGTAATACATATTCACAGTGTACAAAGTGATTATTCCACAGCACTTGGTTCTTGTTTACAAAAATTATCCCCTCACTCCAAGTCATGGATATTCAAAGTTCTTGCTGAATTGTAAACTTTCTTTCTCTCAGGATCTGTAAGACAATTAAAAGGGGGTGGAGCAGAGGAAAACTATAAAATTCCAAACAAAAAAATTAGCTTAAAACTTGTAACAGAAAAGTTAATAATTAAAAATCTATGTGTAGATAATGTTGTTTTGCCATTGTAGGCTTACATGTAACTTGAAATCAACTCTGATTGATTTCACAAGCTATTTTGGATTAGTATAGATTTTTATATAATGATTTTTGTCCTAAAAACGTTAAATAAAAAACATGTTTAATAAGCAAAATATATTTTATCCATAAGGTTTATAAATTTTTAAGGTCTACTCAGCTTAAGCACAACTGACTTAAACTTATATGTTTAGACTCTTTGTCTTTGTAAACATTGTTAAGTTAATTATCTTGGTAAACTGAGTCATACAAGAAATTTTTATATTCTATAATGGTACACTATGAAAGAACCAGGAAAATGAAGTTGCCAATCTGACTTCAGACTGTATTCATAAGAAGAGCTTCAATTCAGAAACTGTTATTTTTATTATAGACTGTTAAAGATTAAACTTTGCTATGTCCAGAACTGTGCTTGTAAGGTTATGCTAAGTACTAATGTAATTAATTACGGTAAAAGATTTATTCAGCTTCCTCTGTATGTTTTCAAGGTATAGCCAAAAGCAAATAACTAAAAACAAGCAATGGTCATTTAGCTAAGATGCATTTAATAAATAATGACCCTCAAGCTTGTCATAATAAGTCATTTAAGATGTTTAAACTTACTATGAAAGAGACTCCAAGATCCTAGCAGTGACCATACAAGGTCTCCAAGAAGATAATGGACACAGTGACAATAGCTCCACCTGGATTTGTAGTAATTCTAAGATTAAGAAAGACTTCCCCAATGCCTCACCTGCTACCAGGGCCAGGCCCAAACTGTGGTCAAGCAGGACACTGGAGAATTGATTGCTCCACTTTGCACAGACAAAGGAAGGCCAACCCGCTCATGCTCCTTCTCCATAGAAATGTGTCAAATCTTCTAGGCATGGCAGCCAAAGACAGGTGCTATCCTAGTACCTTTGTCCCCAACATCATAGAGGACACAGCATCCTGGGATGACTGTCTAGGTGATGGGCCTATCTCTGTCATTTTAAATGATACACATGAAGCTTAAACTCACTAAGGTATAAAAAAAAAAAAACAATTTATTAAGAGGGGCAATTAGAAAGATAAACTCACTGATACAGAGGAAGGCTGAAGCCACCTCTGAACTCTTACCACCTGGGTCTCCAGCCATGTCAAGCACAAGCCAGAGCATGAGAGTGAGCATGCTTTCTCTCAGGTTTATCAGCCCCTCACATATCACCCCAGGCTATGCCCTAAAGCCAGTACCAAAAGCTATTGGCAGAATGAATTTTCACAACACTTCCCTCTTTTGTCAAAATGAGAGGGTTCCAAACATAATTCAAAACTATATACAGTAAGAACATATATAAAATATTGTGCAGGAGAAAGAAAGGGTAATAACATACACAAAAAATAAAACTACAAGTAACAAGAACAACATCAATCAAGAAACACAAACACATACTAAATGTCCAGGCTACAGGTAATTGGCAAATAACAGAAATTATTGCCACGGCTGACCTAATCTGCAGTGTCTAAGTCTTGTACCCAAAATGCATTAGCTAAGATATGAGAGGATAGTGACTGTGACTATCCAGTCTTCAACCCCAACAAAGACCTGAGAAGGATAATAGTATTCCCTGAATAAGCAGGAAGAGCATGCAAGCAACTTCCAAAAGATGCAAGAAATGAAAGAAACAGCTGGCTACATGGACACTCGCCCAAAATCTTTCTGAAACATTGGGGCAACTGGCTTTGACTATAGGTCTAGGATATCTGACAGACTATTTTCAGAAGCAGGAAAATTAGAAAGACTGTTCTACCCTGTCTTAGCAAGGTTTAACAGTCCTGTTTCCTTGAATCCTGCTTGTCCATTTTGGACAGCGTGCTTACTGTCAGCAGTTGAGGCAAGGGCAGTTCTTTGCCAAATAGGTAAGTTTTGCCAAGAAGAAAACAAGCTCCACATGGAGTGTCTCTGGTGCTCATCATTCTCTCAGGAATAGCTCGGTGCTACCACAAGCAGACATGACTCATGTCAACAAAATTTTAAATTATTAAAACATTTAAATGTCATGTTCTGTAGGTCTTTAAAGAGTTTGAAGGTTACCTATCTATGTAGAGTACATCGCTGTAATCCTAGAGAATATAACTAACATAATTAGGTAGGACAAACATACATGACTATTATCCTAAAATTTTCAATAATCCGCATAGCTTACAGACTAACGCTTCATATTATAAAAATAATCAATCTTTAAACAGATGTGCAGTGTGAGGACAATGACCTCAGTTTTGTATCTTGATCAGAGTTAGAAATGTATAGTGCAATATGACAAAATTATCCTTAAATTGTACCATTATACAAAATATGTTAAGCAGAAGTAGAAACATACATGCAGTTTGACAGAAATAATTTTACCTTTTTGTAAAAAAATATTGTAACCAGAAATAGGAACATACATAATATGACAAATATAATTTTGAATTTGTATCAATATACACATTTATCTTAGCAATAAAAATAATTTTGTATATATGTCAATATACAAGAATCTATTCCCTTGTAAATTGTCTTAGTTAATAGTTGCTAAAATAGTTTACAAGGAATCACACTAATCTGCCTCATTATCCTATTCTATCTATTCCCCCTTTTTTCTATACCAAATGAGATTCCTGAGTCTAACTATTATTATCATGCCCCAATCCTATACTAACTTATAATCAACACTAAGAAAACTGAAAAAACATCCACTTCAACTGCTGGGAGAAGGGGTGGCATTTTCTTAAAGTTACTTACACTGCTCTTGGGGGTGATGATATCTCTATGGGATCCTGTAAAATAAAATTTAAAAAATGGTTAAGTTTGAAAAAGACTAGCTGTAACATTTGTAACAAGTCTCTAGGTAGCTGTTAAGGCTTATCTGAAGTTTTTAATCTGAAATTCTGGCTAGAGTGTTCTAAGAGTTGGGCTTACTCAGCTAGCCAATTTGGAGTTATCTTGAGCAGATTTAGTCTGAAGCTGATGTTTATTGGTTAGAGGGCATCATTGTGAACCAAGTAGAGTCTTGTGGTGGGGGCTCATCTTCTTTCTGGAGACTTCAGAGATTGCTGTTTGGAAGGGTTTTTTTTTTTTTGTCAATGTGGAGAATTTAGCATAATTAATATGAAAACAGAAAGTTTATGTTTTTGATAGATATGTATCCAAAAAGTGTACCAAAGAGTAGAAAATATATATGGGGAGAAACAGAATTTTGGGAAGATAACAGAGTTTTAGAAACAATAGTCCCTGGATTTTTGGTTTTCTTCTGTCCCCCACCAGGTGGCTCTTCTGATATGAGACAGAAACTCTGAATATTTTTAAACAACATGCTTGGGTTTCTAAAAGGAGAGCCATGTGTCAACTTCAAAGCCAGGTTTGATTTTTAATTGAGTCAGCACTACCACTATACTGAGAAGTAAATAGATACAGATGTTTAGGTAGTGAGGTTTCACCCCACAGAGAATATTGGTACCATAGGTCAGATTTCTCTTGGTCAGTAACTGTTTTCTGGATATCTTTCCCTTCTTTTTAAGTTATTTTTTTATTATTTTTACATTCCAACCTCAGTTTCTTATCCCTCCCCATACTCCCTCCTCCCCCGTTCCACCCCATCTACTTCTCAGAGGGGATAAGGCCTCCCTTGGGGAATCATCAAAGTTGGGGATACCAAGTTGAGGCAGGACCAAGCCCCTACCTGGAATCAGGCTGGACACAGTATCCCACCATAAGCAATGGGCTCCAAAAAAACCAGTTTATGTACTCAGGATAAGTCCTGGTCCCATTGATGCCCCCCAAGCTAACCAAGCCCCATAACCATCACATACATTCAGAGGGCCTAGTTGCTTCCATGCATTCTCCAGGTGTAGGTCCAGAGTCTGTGAGTTACTGCTAGCTCAGGTTGGCTGTCTCTGGGGTTTCCCCATCACAATCTAGACATCCCTTCCTCATATGATCTTTCATCCCTATCTTCTACTGAACTCCAGGAGCTAAGCCCAGCACTTGGCTGTAGATCACTACATCTTCTTCCATTTGTTACTGGAAGTTTATTCTGTGATGGGAGTTAGGGGGCCACTAAACTGATTACAGGGGAAGGCCAGTTCAGGCATCCCCTCCACTATTGCTAGGAGTCTTAGGTGGGTTCATCCTGACAAATCTCTAGCTTCTAGATAACTCTATGAATGCAATCAATGTGGGAAGGTCCTCAGCCATAAACAAGGACTCATAGACCATCAAAGAACTCACACCTGGGAGAAACCATATGAATGTAATAGTGTGGGACAGTTTTTAGCCAAAAGTCCCACCTCGTTGTACATCAGAGAACTCATACTGGAGAAAAACCATGAGTGTGTTCAGTGTGGCAAAGCTCATGGTCATAAGCATGGCCTCACTGACCATCTAAGAATTCACACTGGAGAAAAGCCCTACGAATGTAATGAATGTGGGAAAACCTTTAGACACAGCTCAAACCTTATGCAACAAGTAAGATTTCACACAGGAGATAAACCTTCTGAGGGTAAGGAATGTGGCAAATCCTTTAGATATAATTCATCTCTTACTGAACATGTGAGAACACACATGGGTGAAATACCATATGAATGTAATGAATGTGGCAAAGCTTTCAAGTATAGTTCATCCCTCACTAAACACTTTCGAGTTCATACTGGTGAGAAACCATTTGAATGTAACGAATGTGGGAAGACTTTCAGCAAAAAGTCACACCTGGCTATACATCAAAGGACTCACACGAAGGAGAAACCTTATAAATGCGATGGGTGTGGAAAAGCCTTTGGACATAGTTCATCTCTTACTTACCATATGAGGACTCACACAGGTGATTGTCCCTTTGAATGCAATCAATGTGGGAAAGCCTTCAAGCAAATTGAAGGCCTTACTCAACACCAGAGAGTTCATTCTGGGGAGAAACCCTGTGAATGTACTGAATGTGGGAAAGCTTTTAGTCAAAAGTCACACCTCATTGTCCATCAGAGAACTCACACGGGCGAGAAACCCTTTGAATGTTATGAGTGTGGAAAAGCATTCCCTGCAAAATCACAGCTTGTTATACATCAGAGATCCCACACTGGAGAGAAACCCTATGAATGTAATGAATGTGGTAAAGCCTTCAAACAAAATGCCTCTCTTACCAAACATATGAAAGTTCACTCAGAAGAGAAATCTCACAAGGAAAATTAATGTAGGGAATCTCACAACTGACTGGTTTGGTTTTCTTTAACTTTAAAAGATGTTCTCAACTTGATGAATGTTAGCAAAACTTTTTTAGGAAATCATTCCTTATATGTAAGAGAATTTGAATATGGAATTTTTAATAAGAGCAATGGATGGTAATAAAATTTAAACTTGATCCTAAACCTTTACAAAAATACTGCATTTTATACTTACTACAAATTATCTCCATATTTAGAACAAAATATGAAACTAAAAATTGTGAATAAGAAAGGCTCTGGGAGATAGCTAAATCAGTAAAATTCTTCCTAAGTAACTATAAGGACCTGAATTCCATCCCTCAGATCCATGTAAAAAGCTAGATGTGGTGGCGTGCGCTGCAATCTCAGATTTGGGAAATTTGAGACAGGAGAGTCCCTGAGCCTAGTTGAGCAGCTGATCTGCAAGCCCTATGTCACAGGGAGAGACTCTATTTTCAAACAAGGTTCAGGGCGCATGAGGAACAGTACTCAAGGTTGATGTTTGGTCTGCACTTGTGCACCACACACATGACAACACACTCTCTCTCTCTCTCTCTCTCTCTCTCTCTCTCTTTCTCTCTCTCTCTCTCTCTCTCTCTCTCTCTCTCTCTCTCTCTCTCTCTCTCTCTCTCTCTCTCTCTCTCTCTCTCTCTCTCTCTCTCTCTCTCTCTCTCTCTCACACACACACACACACACACACACACAGTGACAATGTTATTACAGCACCAAATGAACCGCTAAACCTGCCAAGAATTCATTAAGGGCTTGGGTGTTGTGTACTTAAGCACCACAGTATTTAATCTGCATTTATACTTATTGCATACTTACTGCCTTGTGTAAAGTGTAGTTGTCCCCTCTGGTATCATCTAGATTTCTTTGTTAATATCTGTGCTAGCACTGAATCAGTAGAAAACTTTCTGGGGTTTTGAGACAGCATCTCACTGGGTAGCCCTGGCTAGCCAAAAACTTGCTGTGAAGACCAGAATGGCCTTGAACTAACAGAGATGTGCCTGTCTCTGACTCCCAAGTGCTGGGATTAAAGGATTAAATAGAAAACTTTAATGGTTTTTGTCTAGATGTTGTTAAGCAAAACTGGAAAATGTTGAAACAATGTGCTAGTTGAGAATGATACTCAAGTTATATTGTTAAGCATAGAAAAGTGGATTGTTGGACAATGTATACAGTATTTCTCATTGTGGACAAAGAGTGTGTGTGTCTCCCTCTGTCTTTTTCTGCCCCTCTGTATACATATGCATATATTTATACTGTTATATTTGTATATGAATAGGCTTGTGTTTTCTTTAATCTAGAGGAAACTTTAGTGGTTAGCACTAAACCCAGAAGTAGAGAATTGAGGTCTGGTATTTTTATCATACATGTGTTTTATTAAAATGTACATTAAAATACTTTTATATGCACAAATGAACACAGTTTAAAAATACAGATGAGTCTGTTCCACAGTGTTTTTTGACAGAGTAACGTAAGGTTTCTATGCTCATTTATGAACAATGAATTTAAGGTACATGGCACTAAACCTTGATAATTGAAATCACAAAGATTTTCCTAATGAACACAGGTTTTGTTAACATAATGATTCACAACTGTAACAATATTTTATTTCTCTTGTTTGCTACAGACTAAAAATGAATTCTGCATGCAGATGAATGAAAGTGGTATTTTGAAATCATTCCATTTTATTTCATATTCAGATTGTGAATTCACAAATACCTTAGTCAGGGATTTCAACTGTATTGCAGCAAATGTCTCCATACCCTGCTCTTGCCCACTGAGCAGCTATTTGGATCACTTACTCTGTTTCTCCCAGAGCCTGCTTTGTAATGCTTGTTAAGCATGCATTTCAAAAGGTGCTGTGCATAGTTTGATTTTTTCAAGAGACCTGTCTTGATCTACTAGCTAGAGTCTGTTTCTGTGATCAAACACGGCGACTAAAAGCAACTTGGGGATAAAGAGGTTTATTTCATCTTACACCTTATAGTCCATCATCCAGGGAAGTCAGGGAAGGAACTGAAGACAAGGACCCACAGGCAATAACTGAAGCAGAGACCATGTGGTAGTACTGCTTTCTGGCTTGCTTCTCATAGCTTGCTCAGCCTACTTTGTTGTACATAGGACACCAGGCCAGGGATAAAACATTCCACAGTGAACCTGGCACTTTCCCATCCAACATCAATCAAGAACATGCAGCACAGGCTTTCCCATGGACCATTCTAGTTAGGGCATTTTCTCAACTGGTGTTCCCTCACACTCTCATAATCCTCACACTTAGAAAGCTGAATCAAGAAGATCACAATTTGAAGCAAGCTGAAAAACATCGAGGCTATTATCTAACTCCTTTCTCCCCAATGAAAATATCCGGTTGTGTGTTATTTTTATATTCTGACAGCATATTCACTAAATCCTATCTCAAAAAGTCATGGCCCAGTCATTGGAACTTGTCTAATCCTATTCAGTTCTCAGTAAAAATTTTATCTGCACATTAGTCTGGCATAATAATAGGCCCTAAACAAATAAGTGATTAAATGTTCTCTGCATATACTTGATTCTTGTTATTGCCTTCCAAAATTCCTCATTTCAGAGAACAATAAGTATGGACAAAACAAATTGTGTGTGTGTGTGTGTGTGTGTGTGTGTGTGTGTGTGTGTGTGTGTACATGTTTGTGTTGGAAGATTACCTTATGGATATTGTGCCCCTATTTTCAAATAACTAATTCACTATTGGGTGAAGAAAGTGTATTTAAAATTTTATGTAGTAAAAATTATCATTGGTGAATGAGAAAATGTCTGAAAGAACTAGATGTTAGGGCTGAGGGCAATGGGATTCAGTGAGGATCTGAGTCTGGATCCTCACAACATGAAAGCAAGAAAACTGGGCATGTGTCTGTAAACAAGTATTAGGAGTTCGGGCATATATCCAGCCATCTTCAGGTTCAACGAGAGACCCTATATCACAAACATAAAGTTGAGAACAAGAGAAAGAGACCTGACATCACCCTCTGGCCTGCACTAACCTATGTATGGGTAAATGCATCTACACACACACACACACACACACACACACACACACACACACACGAGCAGTGAAAAAATAGAATCTAAGCCAAAAATATACAAACTTTAGTCATCAAAATTACCTGGAGGATTTGGTAGGACACTAAATTTTTAAGTACAAATTCTTGGATCCCACCACAGACTAATTCAGAAATTCCAGAACTTAGTTTTCATTTTCCATCCACATCCCAGACCAAGAGTGGCAGGCCATACACATCCTGTTCATGAGCCTAATGCATGCACATTCTCGCCTGGAGCCACTTCTCTTGTGACACAGAGTGTATGGTCAGGTGTGTCCTGAAGCTCTGTGCACTGATTTTCCCTGGACACTGTCATTCCGAAGCATCCCTGATGGGAGGCCAAACTGTAGCCCCATTCTGTTTCAGTGTATACTCACACCAAGTCTAGATCATCCACCAGAGGACTCTGGATTTCTCTCTCCTACAGATCATTGTCAGAATTCTTATGTAACTCAGATAGGAGCTTGAAAGTGATTCTGATGCATGCACTGTCCTGCTCCTCTCCAACTTCTTCTTTGGAATAAAAGACTTAATCTCTCACTGGAGTGTATGCTCTGCTAAAAAATTTTGCTTGAGTTATCTTCTCACCAACTGGATTCCATGAGAAAACAAAAAACCAAGGACAACCTTCACCTTTTGCTGTGGGGTATTCACCAGAGAAAATGCTTGGTCCCTGGTTTAGGCAATACAGAGTATTTATTAGCCATCCAACAATTGCATTGGGTGTTCGGGATCCCAGTGTAATCCAAGCCTTTTTCAGGGTGAGTTTTAAGTACAAAATAAACATACTGGATTGACATACAGTAACAGTTAGCCAGAGTCAGACCTTCAGAAGCCAAAAAGCAAGATTAGTACTTTTTGAGACTTTCCCAAAACTATCATCCCAGACTTTGATGAATTAAGCCCTTGTTTTTATTTAGCTGGTGCTTTTGTCTATGTCTTGAGTTTTATGCCCTGAATGGCACTTCCATCATAGAGTCAGTTGTCCTGGGGCCCTGATTACTATGTGGTGTGACATTATGTGGTATGTGACCAATAAACTCTATTCTAAGGTTCTTTCACTAGAAAGGAGACACTCTAGTCTACATCAGTTAATATTGGCCCAAATGACTTTTTTTACACCCTCCCTCTACTTTAGAAATAGAAGCAATGTCAATGAAGGAAAATGGCTGACATGAACCCACAGAGCAAGTCCAAGATCTATTTGAGAAGAGAATCCAGAGGTTCTGAATTATCCTTCATTTTATCTCAAAAGTCTTCTCCTCTGCTGTTATCTATGCCTATAGTGAGAGCACGCCCAATCCCAGACAGGAAAAATTCCCAGGACAGGATAAGGAAGTCTGCACTAGCTGGTATAATGAGATTTCTTTATTCAAGTAATACAGGCCAAGCACAAGCCAGAGCTTGCCCAGAAGCAGCAAGCTAGGGAGGCCAGAGAGAAGGGATCTCCACATGTCCGAAGCCCCTTAAAAATTGCTCCCTGGTCATCCTCGACCTCCCTTGACCATGCCTTCATGGGCGTGGCCAGGCACACCTGTAGGGACTCCTAGGAGGTGGAGTTACAGTGTTTCCCTACAAGCTGGAGCTCATTAGGTGAAAGGAATTCTTGGGAGAGAGAGGGACTTGGAAAGAATCTGAGGCATGAAGGATTTTCCAGTCAGACACAGAGAGATCCAGAGTACAGAGTGGAGAGAGGTAAAGGTCCATATGGCAGAATGTAGATTCATATAAATGAGTTAATTTAAGTTATAAGAGCTAGTTGGGAAGAAGGCTAAGCTAAGACCAAGTTGTCATAATTAATAAGACTCTGTGTTATTTTAGGGGGGCTGGCAGTCCAAAGAAATTCTGACAAGTATGAAATTCCTCATTTGGTACACAAGAGGCCACAAATATTCACGTA